TCCAAACCCAAACATCTCCAGCAACAATTAGTCCTCGGAAGGACCTTCCTCAGCCATTAAGGAGATTTTAAAAGGCTGTAGAGATACCGTGTCCAACAAAATGGTATTTTTTTCCAAGCACCTCAACTCCTTTGAACTCAAAACATTTTTCCAATGTCAAACGCTGGTAGTAGAAGATCAATTTCACATGTTGTGGTTTAGCATCCATCCCTACCTCCCTCTCCAAAATGTTACTTTGATCCAATTTCTGCAACCTCAAGATCCCAATCAATATGTTTTTATTATTCATAAAAGATACATTAAGTTGTTCTAATGACTATGTGCCAAACCACCAATTTCAGGGAGACCTGGATGAGTCCTACCAGCCACCTCACCAGAAATTTGATTTCTAGAATGAAGCCATCTGAGGTAAATAATTAATATCCTTTTTTCTTATAAATGAACATAATTCAGTAAGAGCAAATTATTTTAAAAGGCTGATTAAAAAAAATAATAATAAAGCTCCTAAATTAAGATTGTGTTTCTTCTGCATTGATAGATGAAGAATCACACCATGGACCATGGAGAGTGGTTGATACCAAAGGCTGAATCACCTCTAGCATCAAGGATCCATTTCCCAGCTGGATTTAGAGCCCAAACTGGATTCCTGAGCTCTCCATCCTCAACACAGTGTGCACCACACTCAGAGTAGGTTGGCCATGAGGAAAAGGTTCTTGAGGCACCCAGAGGGTGGTGGAGCACTGGAACAGGCTCCCCAGGGAGGTGCTCATGGCACCAAGCCTGACAAGATGCCAGCAGCATTTGGCCAAGGCCCTCAGGGAAACAACCTCCTGGTCCCAATGAGACCAGACTGAAGTTGTTTACCTGCTGTCGGAGCAAATACTCTCAGGAAAATAGATTTTAATGCAAAGGAATTTTATTTTCTGGTAATTAATGGTAAATGGAAAGATAAAGTCATGGAGAAACCAGACAATTGATGGGCCAAATGGTTCTGTCCTTACTGGTGCACATGTTCCCATTAATTCAATTCGAGTCTCACTAGCAGTCAGATTTATGAAGTCATTTAGTATCCAGACTTAGAAGAGTGGACCATGGTAAAGCAAAGACACATGGGGTCTGCGAAGAAAGAGACAACTAGAATTTGATTAAATGCCATTAAATTTCCAAATTAATGGAAATTTCCATTAATTTTCCAAATTTAAATGGAAAATACGGGAATCTCACGTAACTCCAGCACTGAATGTACCCACTTCCACCAACACACACAAAATAAACTGGTTTTTGTTTTTAAATGACAGCCATATAGTTAATCCAGCTTTCAATATAGATGTGGCTTTTCTTCTCTTGTCCATAGAGAATAAATTGCCATAAAAATTACACTAATACATCAAATCTGTGCGATAAAGTCCCCAGATCTTATACCTGAAGAGAACCTGACCTGCTCCTTCAATTTGATACTCTCCCCCTTGCTGTTCTTTATCCAAATTGACCTGTTCTTATTTAGAATTTAGATCCTAAATCATATTTAAGACGTAGCTACGTGGTAGGACTGACCCAATGTATCATCTCATCTTGTGATGGTCCCAAGCAGCTCAATGTTTGTGGCCAAGCATTTCTGCACCCTCCTTCATTCAGTCCTTGTAGAGTCAGGTTGGGTTGGGGGCAGGGGGGGGGGCTGGTTTTTTGGTATAAAAGCTCCCCTGGCTCCAAGGTGGAGACTCCCCAGCCCAGGCTGGGCCAGTGATCACCAGAGAAACACCTCTGGGAATCCATATTGGTGAGGGGAAGGACTGTCCTGAAAAGAAGAAGGTGGAGAGAACCTGGAGGAGAGGCCATTGACCTGAACAAAAGACCATCAGCCTAAACAAAGGACAGACAGACAGAGAGACAGAGCTTCATGGCCAGAGGAAAAGACACAGACCCCCACCCAGTTCAACCCCATGGAGTAGGAGAAGACAAAGTTCCCTGCAGCCCATGGAGGTTCAACAGCGGAGCAGAGACCCACGTGTCAGCCATGGAGGATCCACGCTGGAGCAGAGAAGCTGAGCCTGAGGGCAGGTGTGACTGGAATTGGGACCCCGAGAGTCACTCGCTGCCAGAGCGGGGGTGGGACCCCCAGAGTGGGGGGTGAGTCTGCAGCCCATGGATGTCCCCATGCTGGAGCCAGGAGCTGAGCCCAAAGAGGTCCCTGACTCCATGGGAAGCTGCTTTGGAACATCTTGTTCCTGGACTTTCATGGTGGAAAGAGCCCAAGTGGAGTCTGTGTTGCCCGTGCCCATCACTGGTGAGTGACCCTCCCTGTCCTCATCCCTAATCCCGTGTCCCCTTTGTTGTGTCTCCCATCCCATCTCACCAGGTTCGGGGAGTGAATGCAGGACCACATGGTCCCACTGTGGGTCAAACCACCACACTTGTGCACCAAGACACCTCGCTAATCAACACGGTAATTCAGCTGCAAATTAGCCCAGAAGCTGTTTTCTTCCAGACTAGCAAGAACCAGTGGTTGTTTAGCCAGGTAAGCACTGGACCAGTCCACTGAACTGGACCATGGGGTGTGGAGAAGCAAAGCTCCCTTGGTGCTGGGAGCCTGCACCATCACTTCATCTCCTACATCTACCCACACCCTCCATCATTTGAATGGGAATTGAAGAGATTCCTGAATTCACAGCAATTAACTAACCACACGAATGCAAACATGTCTCTACCACCAGGATGGATAACCTGGTTCTGGAGAAGGTGGCTGCAGACATTTCAAGTTGTGTGAGTTTTTGGATTGTCCCTCATTATTATTTCCATTCTTTGTTGTTTGTTGGTGGTACCAAGTGAATTTCCACTAAATCTTGAAGTTGTTCCCTAAATTTTGTATCACAACTACAAACAGCTTAGAAATTGGAATTTGGGGTTGTTCCAGGGTGGGAGTAGATGGAGCAAAGCAGGTCAGGACAACCAAGGAAGTTATTCTTTCAGTGTAGGAAACATTGAATAGAGTTTCTGGAGTCTGCTCAGCTTTTGACTACACAAAGCTGAGTGTGATATCAAGATCTTTGCACCTGCCATTCATTTTTATCTTATGAAAGAAAAACAATTTATGAGGGGAAAAGAACATGCCATCATCTGTAGACTGACCACTTTATACCATTTTACACCATTGGGGGCCTACAAGAAAGCTGGGGAGGGACTTTTCATAAGGGCAGTTAATGACAGAACAAGGGGAAATGGGTTTAAGCTGAAAGAGGGGAGGTTTAGATGAGATATTAGGAAGAAGTTCTTCACTGTGAGGGTGGTCAGACACTGGAACAGGTTGCCCAAGGAAGTTGTACTTCAACCTGCCAAAGTTTGCAGTGTTTATTAGAAAGCTCTGAAGGAAGCTTTCTAATAAATAATAATTAGCTTTCTAATAAAGTTTCAGCTTTCAGGAATCCATGAATTTTTCTGATTTTCCTTTTGATGAGCAAATTGAGCTAAAATTTGGGGAAACTTCAACTTCTAGTTTGTTTGGAGGTAGGAAGAAAAGGAGATAAAGTTGGTCTACACGTCCCTTTAACAGAAAGAATAAAGTCATTGCAGAAACAGAGCTGAAATTCCTCCTGGAGGTGTATTTTTACAAACAAAATATGCTTTTATCAGGATAATTTGTTTTTGATAACACATTTAGAGGAACAATTTAGGAAAGATGATTTATCATCTGCCTTCCAGAGCATAACTCCAAAGTTTTACTGATGCAGGGAATAGGGATGCAAGCTTTGGGCTCATGCTTCCGAGCTTTAATTGTTAAAGAGTGATTTATTTTTGACAGGAAACCTAAATTATATTTATTTATAAGAAAACTTCACATGCAAAGGGAGAATTATAAGAGCTCCTCAACTTGAGCATAGCACCACCAGTTCCAAACACTTGGCAGAGTTATAAATACTTTATTACTTCTATGGAAGAGAACTATGACACTGAAAATCAGATTCAAGTTTCAAACTCTTGGATAAGAGTTTGAAATAGATTTTCTTCCAAAGCTTTTACTTTTTCATTGGAATTTCTATTGTCATCAAATCCTCAGCTAGTGTTACTTCTTGAGCATCTAACACTGACTCTGCCTGTCTCTTCAGGTGGGTGATGTCCATGTCTCCCTCACCTCTCTGAGCAGCTGGTTTATACCGTTGACTGAAATGAGTCAAAACCAGTTTCTTCACTTTACACAACTTTGCAAAATCCGATGCCGTTTTGGGAGTGCTGTGACCGTGCTCTCTGGCTTTTTCCTCTTGGGTATCATCTAACGTGGCTTCATGGATCAGGACATCTGCTTCATAGCAAAGCTTCATGGCAACATCTCCAACCACTCCTGAACAATCCCCCAAAATACAAATTTTTCTTCCAGGAATAGGGTCTTCTAAGACATCAGAAGGAGAAATGGTTACTCCATTTTCTAGAACAACTGCAGTTCCATTCTTCAGTTTCCCATATAAAGGACCTGGTTGAACTCCTGGTCAATAAAGGCAAAAGAGCCCGTAAATATTAAAATAAGCATCAGGTTTTAAAAAGCAAAAAATCATTTAAGAAGAAAAATTTTAAGAAGATTTTAAGAAAATCATTAGAGTTATGCTATATATAGAGCTGTCTCACTGAAAAAAATACAACCTCAAAATGGCGCCAACGACACCAAGCTGGGTGGTTGGGTTGACAC